AAAAAAAAAAAAAAAAAAAAAAAGCATTAATAATCTAAACCAGTTTTGAAAGGAGCTATATTATCTATTTGGTAACTATACAGAAACTGTGTAAATCTACATTTTTTTGTTGTTGTTGTAGGTGGACACAATACCTTTATTTTATTTATTTATTTATTTATATATATATATATATAGTGCTGAGGATCAAACCCAGGGCCTCACACATACTAGGTAAGCACTCCACCGCTGAGCCACATCACCAGCCCCAACTTCATAAATATAAAAATGTCTGATTACACAGGCATGCACATACACACAAAGATTCAAAAGCCAAACCCCAAAAAATATTTGGAATTAACAACAGACTAAAAGAATTAGTTATTAAATTGGAAAAGAAATTCTATAAACCAATAAAAAGTAAGCTAGTATATGAACAGATATTTGACAGAAAAGAAAATGCAAAGGAACATAAACATATAAAAATACATTCAACTTTAATTATAATGAATAAAAAGGCAACTACACTGACAGACTGTTTTCTCATCTATCAGACTGGCACTGAGTTTGATAACACATTCTATGGACAAGTACATGGTGAAATCGCACTTCCATACACTGACAGTACAATATTGGTACAATCTCTCTAAAGCTACATGAGGAATTCCTCAAAATTATAAACACATGCCCTTTCATCCAGCAGTTCTACTTCAAATAGTTGACCCTAGAAACATACTTCATATATGTTATAAATTAAACATATACAACCCTTTAATTATAGCATTAATTTATGTAGTAGAAGAAATTGGAGAAAACTATATGTGCTTGAGCAGAAACCTTGCTAAATCAATTGTAATACATCCATAGGATATCATCAGTACCAATAAGGAAGCACTTGGAAGGAGTTCCAGAATGTATTAACACACACGCACACGCACACACACAAAAGAACAAGCAGTTAAGATCAGTAAGATATGTGGTAAGACCAAGACACACACACACATACACAAAAACACACACACACACACACACATTTTTGCTTGTATATGGATTATGCATGTATTTGGAAGAATATAAGAAAAGAGGTCAACTGAATAAAGAATATATGTGTGTTTTTATATGTGTAGACTGTTTCTCAAAGAATACATAAGAAACTGGTAAGAAGAAGTAAGCAGCATGGGAGGAAATAGTGAGGATATAAATATCTCTAAAATTTTAAAACAATAAATTAGTATCCATTAACAAGATAAAATCAACTGATATTTATAGTGACCAAATTTTTACAATTACTTACTAAAAGTAAATGGAAGCCAAAACAATATAAACTGCAAATATAGAACATAAGCTTTTATATGAAAGAAAAGTTGAACTTGAAATTTAGCAAGGAAAGTTTTGGCTACTGTTAGAGATTAAAAATAAACTGAGACAATGTCGAATATTTCTAATCTATCACTTCGACAGCGATGAATAAATAATAGCATGTCTTGTAACTGTTAATCAAACAGCGGCCTTTATTAAGTTAAGAAAAGGGGACAAATGTTAGTTTTCATATTTATTCCAGAGTTTGCATCCTTCCAATAATATGATAAAAGAGGGAAAAAATTCTCTTTCCTTGAAATAGCTACATTATATGTTAATTGTAGCAGCATGTTTTTCTATTCAAAACTGTCATCTTATTAATCATGCAAATGGTCCATGTGCTGTTCAGATTCACTATAGTTCCAATCAAAGAAAAAAGAGGTAGAAGAAATGTCTGGTCAAACAGTAAGGCAACTCACAAACACTTTTTAGAGAGAACATGATAATACTACTGAAACAAAAGAGAATACTACTGCAAGATATTAATAGTATTTACTTATAAAAATTAAAAACAATATGCAGAGCTGTTTTAGCACTCTACCTATTGTAACAACAGTTTCAACTACTTGTATATGGATTATGCATGTATTTGGAAGAATATAAGAATATATGTTTTTCAAACTTTTATGTAAAAACATATAATCTGTATAATCTACAACTATGTTTTTCAAACTTTTATGCAAAAACATAATTAGAGAAATGAGAAAAAAACCTCTGACAACATGTAAGTATAATTTAGTGGTAGGAATGAGGAGGTACGTCAGAAGTAGACTTCTGAACTCTGAATGCCTGCACCTTACCTTCTTCTGAAGAACATTAACCTTCCGCTCCTTCACATCCAGCATGTCCTTAAGGTCATGTATCTCTCCAGCTTGTGTTCCTTTCTCTTCAGCCATGTCCTGAATTTGTTTTGTCTTTTTATTCAGCATGGTTTCCTTTTCTTCCAAACGCAATCGGAGAGCATCCACCTAAGAATACACAATTTTTACAAGTTATTAACCGAAAAGAATATAACTCTTTTTGAATAGATATATTATAGATTATAAAAAGATTGAGTTTTATTTTTTCTGTATAATCTACAACTATGTTTTTCAAACTTTACATACATCAGAGTCACCTCACTGATTAAAACAGATTGCCAGGTACACCCACCAAGGTTTCAGGGTGGAAGTTGGAAATTAGCACATAGACAAGTTTCTAAGTGCTATTACATTTCCTTAGGAAATCTAAAATTAGAAAGGAAACCAAAAGAATCACCAGATAACAAAATCTACCCAAAAGTTATGATGCTTTTAGGATAGCATCATGTGTGCTTGTACATCTACACAAAGCAAAAACAAAGGTCTGTTTTTCAGACACCAAGATTAACTAAGGTAAAGTCTGACACTGAGTTACCTCTATCCTTGAAGTTTAATAGCTGCCATTAGATATAACTTATTTATTGAGAAATCTAGTGATAATAATATTTATTTTAAAATCCATTTAAAGCAAATTTCATTAAGCTTTTAATATCCCATATATATTCACACACCAATTTTTTTGTTTGTTTTTTGTTTTTCCATCAAGGATTAAAACTTCAACAGGTATTTAATTGCAGAAAAACAGGAAGGTAGACTTCTTTCAGCTAAAAGAGTGCTATTTGGAGAAAATATGAGTCATATTTACAAGCCATTTTTAACCTCCTAATAGCTATATTAAAAAGGTTAAAAAGATAAAATTTTAATAACATTTTATCTAATATTTCTACAACAATGTCATTTCAAAATGAATCTGTATTAAAAACTATTCATGAGGGATCTTACATTCTTTTCTGATATTAAGTCTTCAAAGTCCAATGTGTATTTAACCTTTACATTACACATCACTAATCACTGCAAATCTTAAAGAGCAAGTTTGCTTCTGTAAAATCTCTCTCATCTTTAACTTGCCCAATATTACTTTTACTAAGCTATACTTAGTTACTGCGTGTGTAGTAACCCATAAAGAAAAAGCAAGTAATATGAGTAATTATTCTTATTTAGAATATACTGAAGCTCTCAGGAAAGATTTAATATTGTATTTAAACTACAAGGCATCTGAGATATAGTACTGAGATACAGCATGATGGAACTGTTCAGAAGTGTTATGAAAAAATTCTAGGTGACTAGTCTCAAGTACTTACAGATTATGTTGGACTATCCTAGAAAGAAAAAACATGCAGATAAACCACACTACATTATAAATGTAGTTGCTAAACTACATTATACAAGAATTTCTATGCCACTAGTCTCACCAAGCCAGAAGTTGGGGAGGATCTTTTTAGTTCTCATTTATAACTTTGCATCAAAGGTTTTACCTTGGGCATTCAATAAATACTCTTTCAGCTTTAATTTGCCTCTACTTTACTTTAATAAAAGACATATAGTTAACCTTATTATAGTATGGAAAGACAACACTAACAATTTTCTAATTTTGATAATCTTTTTTCTGACTCACAAACACATATATGGTCATATGTATGCTCTTCCACCATATACACAATGGATTAAAAATCTTCAGAGTTCTATCCTTAGGCACTGTATTTTCATCCTTTTCGTTTTTCTTGCAGACAATTCTACACTCTACTATGGCACTTTAAAAAACTGGGACTTAAAAGCCAGAAAGAACAATGGCACACATCTATAATCCCAGAGACTCAGGAGATTGAGACAGTAAGATCGAAGATTCATGGCCAGCTTGAGACCTAGGCAGCTTAGCAAGATCCTGTCTCAAAGTAAAAATAAAAATTTAAGGGTTCTGGATGTTGTTCAGGGGTAAAGTACTCCTGGGTTAAATCCCTGAAGGAAGAGGGATAGCACACAAGCTGGGACATAGATCTAAGAGAAGGTAGCAAGCCCAAAATCTCAAAGCTACCAATAAGTATTTATAGCAGGGATTGTGGTCAACTGGGCTATCTCTAGATCCTGCACTCTCAACTAATTCTATAATATATCCCTGCCAGGGAATTTAGAGCATAGTATTACAGGCCCTCCATGATGCAGGGGTCCCATCTGACCAGCACTGCCTTATCTTTGTAATACACCTTCTCATTTCATTTGTAGCAATTCCTTGCTCTAGCGCCATACCTGTTCTCTGAATACATGCCATGTTTCTTATTTTACTTGTCATTCTTCACATTTTGTACTCTCTCACAGTACTAGAGGATAGAAATCTGACATCAAGGTTTCAGCAGGGCCATAATCTTAAGCCTGCCACCTTCTCTTATCTAAGTCTCATTTTTCTTAGGCCATCTGAGAGCTCTAAGGATAACTCTTTGTCTCTTCCCATCTTCTGTTGGCTCCTAGCAATCCTGGACCTATAAATCCATCTGCAAAGACCCTAGCCAGATATGGGCACACTCAGATTTGGGTAGACATGAATCAATGGAGGTACTATTATCCTATTATCCACTATCCCTATTACTACAAAACGCTCTAAAATGCTAAACTTACTTTTAAATTAATAGTTGAGAACATATACAAACTGACAGACACAAAATCATTGAATGCTGAAAATTAGACCAGAAATCCAAAATGGTTTGCTTACAAAGAAGTTATGCCTGCCATCCTGCTTATTCCTTTACTTATTGCTGTGTCCTAAAGGACATGGTTTTGAAGAAGCCTCAGAGGACAGAAAACAAGACAGGGCAACACAAAGGAAGGCTAGAACAAAAAAAAAAAAACAAAATTACAAGCCTTCACTGGGAAACTGCCCTGCTTTTGGATGATCCTCAAGCATCTCGGTACTCTCAACGCTCCTTTACAGCCCTCTCTCTAAATACCCCCCTTTGGTTTCAAGACTCCTTGACACTCTTAGAAATTATTGAAGCTGGGCACAATAGTACATGCCTGTAATCCCAGTGAATCAGGAGGCTGAGTCAGGAGTATAGCAAGTTGGAGGCCAGCCTCAGCAACTTAGTGAGACCCTATCTCAAAATTTAAAAGTTCAATGGTAAAGTATCCCTGGGGTCAATTTCCAGTCCAAAAAAAAAAAAAAATATTGAAGACCCAAAGATCTTTTGTTTATGTAAGTAATTATTTTTTTAATATTTATTTTTTAGTTGTAGTTAGACACAATATGTTTATAGTATTTATATGTGGTGCTGAGGATGGAACCCACAGCTTCACACATGCTAGGTGAGCGCTCTACCCCTGAGCCACAACCCCAGCCCCTCTGAGTTATACTTATCAATGTTTTAAAATTATTTATTAATTTAAAATGAGTCCATTATGTAAGTTAAAATAACACATTATTATGGGGGGCCACTATATTCACAAAAAATACAGTTAAAAAAAGCATGACTGTTTTCAATTTTTGCAAATATATTTAGTGTTTGGGGAAGGGGGTACCTAAGACTAAATGTAGTTTTTATATCATCTAACAAAATTTAAACAGACCCAAAAGAACTAAACTATTTCAAAGTAATTTATTCACATAATAAAGTTCAATATTATTTATAAGAATACATGAATGCCCAGCACCCAATAATGTAAAACTCATAATGCCTAGCACCCAATCCACAATTACCTGATTTGCAAACACACTGGAATATACAACTCATAATGAGAAGAAAAGTCATTCAGTGAAAATTGATCCAGAAATAACATAGAGGATAGTTTGATGTTACTAACTTGGAATCTAAAAAAGCTGAACTCACAGAAACAAAGAGTCAAATGGTGGTCACCAAGAGAAAAAGATGGGAGCAGGGAGAGGAAATAGGGAGATACTAATCATATGGTACAAATTTCAGTCATAAGGATAAAAATTTTCTAGGGATCTAATGCACACCACGATGATTACAGTCAATAATACTGTATTACATATTTGAAATTTATTTAAATATTATCACAAGGGAAAAAAGCTTGCTATGTGAGATGACAGATGTGTTAACTAACTTGACTGTAGTAATTATTTTACAATATATACATTGATTAAAGCATCACACTTTATGCCTTAAATATATAAAGTTGTATTTGTGGAATATGTCTCAAGAAAGATGGGAGAGAGAAATTAGTAGGACTTACAATTCAATGTTAGACATAAAAATATTTTAAAAACCCAAATCAACTAAAGATGAAAACGTCAATGTTTGAGGTAAAAAAATATACTGGGTGAGATTAATGACAGATATAAGACATTACAGAAGAAAATTTTAATAATTTTTCTTTTTTAAATTAAAATGTTTTTATTTTACTTCTTTTTATTTATTTATTATTTATATGACAAGGAATGCCTTACAATTCTTATTACACATACAGTGCACAATTTTTCATATCTCTGGGTGTATTCACAGTATATTCATACCAATTCATGTCTTCATACCTGTACTTTGGATAATAATGATCATCACATTCCGCCATCATTTCTAACCCCATGTCCCCTCCCTTCCCCTCCAACTCCTCTGCCCTATCTAGAGTTTTGTCTATTCCTCCCATGCTCCCTTTCCCTATCCCACTATGAATCAGCCTTCTTATATCAAAGAAAACATTCAGCATTTGTTTTTTGGGGACTGGCTAACTTCACTTAGCAATATCTTCTCTAACTCCATCCATTCAGCTGCAAATGCCATGATTTTATTCTCTTTTAATGATGAGTAATATTCCATTGTGTATATATGCCACTTTTTTTTATCCATTCATCTATCGAAGGGCATATAGGTTGGTTCCACAGTTTAGCTATTGTGAATTGTGCTGCTGTAAACATTGATGTGGCTGTGTCCCTGTAGTATGTTGTTTTTAAGTCCTTTGGGTATAGACTGAGGAGAGAGAGAGAGAGCTGGGTCAAATGGTGGTTCCATTCCCAGATTTCCAAGGAATCTCCATACTGTTTTCCATATTGGCTGCACCAATCTGCAGTCCCACCAGCAGTGTATGAGTGTACCTTTTTTCCCCACATCCTCACCAACACTTATTGTTGTCTGTATGCATAATAGCTATCATTCTGACTGAAG